AGTGGGGCCCGCAGGGAAGGCCTGCGCTGAGGGGCTCCGTGCGCGGCCCGCCGAGCCGCCTGCCTCCCCTGGGGAGGAGGGGGCTGCCCAGCGGGCTTCCCCTTTGGGTGCCCCTTCTCCACGAGGCTCCTCGACTTTAGCTGATGAAAATCCGCTTGTGCTGCGGTGACTGCTTCTACGTGAAGTGCCTTTCTCGCAGTCCCGTGTAGCGCGCTGGGCATCGCGCTGTGCCACGGCTCCTCTCGCATTTGAGGAACGCGACCTCAAATAGCCGCCCCTTGTCTGAGAACATCGATGGTTTGGGTTACAGGTTCTTTGAAGTTACGGCTTACAGGATGTGAAAACCCTGAAAAGAGTTTTTAGTGGCCAAAAATAAGACTGGTAGAGATTTTTAGATGCATCGGTGTCTCAGACTTAGCAGGTGTCTTGTAGCACATACTAGAGGTAGGCGAGTCGACGTAAAATGATAGTCCGGTGTTGTCACAGCTTTGTTGCTATGTCTGTACAGGCTGTAGGGATCCTTGCGAGTTAAAACTGCCAGGTGTCAAAGTGATAAACTCCCAGAAGGTTCTTAGAACACGGATATCCAAAAATACATTATAGCTTTAAGTCCCTGTTTTATGAAAGGCTCTTTTTCCTTTTAATTTAATGCTGTCTGCAAGTGTTTTCTTGAGAATTTTCCTATCAGTAGCTTGATTTTATGCCTACAGGGTGCTATTTCTCAAGTAGCAGGTTTTCATGTGATGCCCGTATTTCCCCTCTCCCTTCAGTGACTAGTTGTAGGGGTTTGTGCTAGTCCGGGAACAGTTAATTAGCTTTAATTGCTGGCAGTGGCTTAGCTTTCCCAGAAGGGAGGTGGAGGACAGGCCATAACTACCGGGCTGTTGGCAGTAATTAAGACTAGTTAGCTGTTCTGAGGCTGAAGTAAAAATGCTGTAATCTTCCCCCCTGAATTCACCTGCAAACCACTTAGGACTAAATTTACAGTTCGGAAGCCTGCATAAGTAATGATCATAATAGGTATATTTCTTTGAGTCTTATTCTCTAATTGATTTATTACAGTCAACAATTTAGCAATAGTTGCAAGCTGAAGGAAAAAATTTCTAGAGTGATACTAGCTGAAACACTTTAGCTGAAATGTAAGGTTATGCTGATAAAAACTGAACTCTGGGTAGAACTCTAGCTTTGACTGGAATGTTGTCAAATATTGACCACGTTGAACAGAAGCTTAAATTTAACATAGACTTCAGGTGAAACAGCTCCTTGTAGACAAACATTAGATAGTTGGCTAAGATTTTTTTAAAACAAATCAGGAGTATGAATTTGAAATACTGCTTGGCATTTAACAGCAATTTCAATGAAATGAGTATGGGAGAATGATGGCAATAAGAAGAAAGATCTATTTAATGAAAAAAAAGAATTAATATAATTGGGCTAGTGTTTGCTGTGGGTTTTTATATATGTGTGTGTATATATATTGTGGAACTAAAACTTTCTACAAAACAAAGTCATCAAAGCCATGCTGCTACAAATAATCCGTTGAACAGCCGGCAAATGGCCAACTTTTTTTTTTTTTTAATTACCATTACATAGATAATAGAATTTAGTGGTTTCCTGATGTACTTAAAACCCTAAAGTGTGCTAATTTTTTTTTCTGTGTGGAGAGGTTATTTAAGCTATTCTAAATCTAACTCACAGTCTTTTTAAAGATATCTAAAATACTCTGATTTCTTAACTATGGACATTTTCTTTTCCATAAGTGGGAGTGTTACTTGCAATTAGTGTAATTCCGTGATTGTACTTTTTAGTCAAAGCTGTGTGAAGCTACTTCGACTGTGCTTTTATTAAATTGAAATGATCGTTGTATTGGTTTTCTCTGCCTAAGAAATGGGTTTGCATAGAGGAAAAGTTAATTCCTTCTGTCTTCTACATTAAAATTTGACTAAATAGATGAAGATCTAATTATGCTTGATATACATCCTCCCCAGATCTCAAAGCTTTTGAAAGAAGACTTACTGAATACATTGCATGTTTGCAACCAGCTACAGGACGTTGGAGAAGTAAGTTTGATGTTCCAATGGATAAATAGGATTCTCTCTTTCAAGCTTTTTAGATTTACTAGTGTTTATCTTTGATTTATGTTTGCCCAGACAAAAATCTGTGCTTCAACTCCTTAAAATTTCTGTGGCATACATTCAAACACTCTGCAACAAGATAATACAAGATACCAAACTAATACTTTAGCCAGAGTTAGAAAAATGAGTTCAAGACTGATTTGGCTCAAGGCTGATTTATTCTGGAAACAGTTGGGACAGTACGTTGTTGTATTTGTTTCTGGTTCCTTTTGCTTTTTTTTTTTGTTGGGTTTTTTTGAAGTCTCAAACTTCCTAGACAGTCACTATAGTTACCCCAACTAAGTATCATTGGGTTAGATAGTCCTTATAAAATTGAAGGTGAAAAAGTTACAGCAGTGTGCCTTAAGGGCAGAATATGTCCTCATTTTTGTTCTAACAGGAAAGTTTGAAGGAGGGGGGAAAGCAAAAATACCACAGATATGCTGCCAACTTTGGAATCGGTAGTCTGTGGTAGAAACAGAGATTTTTTTTTTTTTTTTTGGTTCTAAGATTGTGCTGAAGTTTCCATACTCAAAGAATACAGACATTTTTTAGAATGTATAAAATACTATCTTTTCCGAGAGGCCAGGAGGCTAATTTCAAATGAGGGAATTGGAAGAATGACTACTTAAAGAGCAAAACTAAAAAAACCCCAGCCCACCCCAAAACAGAACCAACCAACCACCACCCCCGCAAGCCCCCTTGTTTCAGAACAATTGGGAGGCAAGCAGATAAATGTAGTAGATCTGCACAGCTTCTGCACACCTGCTGTAGGAATGCATTTGGCTTCCAGGATTGTCAGATATAATTTTTTAAAAAAAAAGTACTGGAAACTTCTAAGCATATTTAAATGAGGTTTGCATAAATAGTATTATGTTCACAAGCTATCTTAGTTTCCTAACTGCTTGTTTTGCTACTTTTGTAATTCGTGTAAGAGAGGGACTTTTTACTTTAATTACAATGGGGTATTTAACCCAATGTTAACTTTTCATCCTGTTATCCTGGGAAAAGATGTATTTATACAGAGAAGCAGCTCTATGCTTTTGATAGATCTTTTCCAAATTTCTTTTGAAAACATAACTTGTTAGGGTTACTTTTTTTTTTATTATTTTGTAATATCAATAAGGAATATACAACTCAATAGAAAATTACAGCAGTCTTACAAACCCAGTAGTATTTCATGAATATCTGGGTTTTGTTTTCATGTTCTTTCCTATGATCTTAAAGGCTGGTAACTCTGGGTCTTCTCTCTTTTTGTGTTGGTTTTTGTTTTCCCCTTGTTTTTTTTTTTTTTCTCCTGGTAAAAGACTTTATTTACATCCAGATCTTCAGGCTCCACAAAAAACACTCAGAACTGCAAATGTCCAATGAAAGCTGCAAGGCTTTATGGGTGTGCAATAGAATATGAGCTTTCTCTACCTTTATATTTGTTCGTTTTTTTTTTTTTTTCCATCAGTCCCTCTTCCCCAGCCCTTTGTAGTCTAAAATCAGTCTTGAAATCTTGCGTTGCTCTTGTAAGTATCTATCGTTTTCCATTTACAGAGAATTGATTATTCATTCTGGACATATAGAGGTTGTTAATCTTCATGTGCCAATGCTAATATGCCTTCTAACCCCTGTTTACATTTTGTGTTTTTTCTTCTGTCAGCTTTCCTTGATTGTAATGGTGTTGATTGGGGCGGGGAGCATAACACAAATTATGTGCCCCTGGAAGTGCTGGTGCTAATGTCTCAGGCTTTTCTTATGTAGAAGAGCTAGTGGGATAGAAGCTGTAGTTCTGCTTGGCAGTTTAATGGTGCTGCATTTCTGTTGCCCAGCCTGCATAAGCTCAGGTAGCATACTGAACACTTCGTACAACTCTTACTCCGTCTTCCAACTCATATTTTTGCTAACCGTGCTATTTTAGGAACCTTAATTTCTTCAGAGCATCAGGATGTTTTTACTGGGCAGAATTTAGATTTTGGTACCTACTTGTCGTGTCCAGAATCTTTATGGTTTCACATAATA